AAAAGGATTAGGGTTGGATGGCAGGCTAGTAGCCTATCCCCGAAAAAAAAAAAAAATCATTACTACGAAACCTGCAAACAAGAAAGCGATAGGAGAATGTTGCGATAAGGATGCAAGAAATCTCTTTTGCAGTCGATTGTGGAGGAGAATGGTTATAGACCATTGTTTACGCTAATTGTATCTTAAAACATGAGTGCGCCAGTGTGGCTCATATGTTTTGTAACTACCCCCGCCTTTCTTAGAGACTTTACGGAAACAAAATTATCAAAAGCAGGCATTCGAGTTCAAACTTTCAAACCTAACATACATAAATATAACCTTTTTATTTTCTTTCAACCGCTGTTAATTTTAAGTTAATTTATAGTCAATAAAAAAAAACATTTCAATTCAAAAATATTTAAGTGTTTGTAGTGACTAGATAAACCTCTGACATTAAATATAGGATCGAAAAAGCAAGGAGTGCCTTCCAACAGATGAAGAAAGTTCTCTGCAATTTAACCTTGGACTTACATCTCCGACTCAAAATCCTTAATTGTTATGTGTTTTCTGTTCTTATGTATGGAGCAGAGGCATGGACACTCACTGATGCGTCTTGCAGACGGTTGCAGTCTTTCGAGATGTGGTGCTATCGTCGCATGCTCAGAATATCATATGTACAGTTGCGGTCACGGAATAGTTTACAGGTTCACGTATCTAGGAGCCCATTTTTTAAATTTTTACTTCGTTTAAACGCACCTTTTACGTCAAAGTGACGTTGCCAGTGGTGTACTAGCTAGAATAGGTAGATTAAAATTAAAATATCAAAATATTTTACAAAATGAAAAATATAGAAAACAGTTTTTTGAATAAAATGGATTATGATCTTAATAACGAAAATAAAGAAGTCTTTTTTTTTTTAATATGCATTTTATTTTAAATCTATTTTATATTAAATAACGATAAACAATGATAAATAATAATTAATATTTGGTGGAAGCCCCATTCTTGTCAATACAATTTTGCAGTCTTCTGTTCATAGATAGCACCAATCCCCTCATGTTATAGTTAACAAGCTCTTCCCATGCCTGCTCAATTGCTTCCCATAATTCAATTCTATTCCGTGGTCTAAGGTTTCTTTCATTTAGTTTCTTTGTTAACTCTGCCCACACATTTTCGACGGGGTTAAAGTCTGCACTACGGGAAGGCCAGGGAAGAACATTAACATCAGTTTCTTCTAGCCATTCTCGAACAATTCTACTCGTATGCACCGGGCAATTGTCATGTTGGAAGATACAAGTCGTTGTTGGGGAATCTCTGGATCACCGATGGCAACATTGTGTGCTCAATAATATGTTTGTAATATAATCCTGTTAACTTCTCCTCTACATGATAACAATCGCCCGGGCCTTCGGCACTTATCCATCCCCATACGTTGACAGAGAATCCTCCACTATTTCTTTAATGATGCGTATACTGTTCATCATACCTATGATTTCTCGGCCTATAAACTCTTATTCGACCATTATTATACGACTGAAATACTTTTTCATCGGAAAATACAACCCTAGACCAAAAATTCTCATCGCGGTTTATAAATTCATTACAAAATTCAACTCGTCTCCTCTTGTGATCCTCAGTCAAAAAAGGTTTCCGTGCAGCTACACAATTTAGCAGTCCACTTGCTTTAATTCTTCGACGTGCAGTGCGAATACTGCCTGGAAACGCTGCCTCTTCTCTTGCCTTTTGAGCTGTGGCAAAAGGAGATTCTCTCAAATAATCTACTAACATCTCATCCTGTTGATCTGTGGAAATCTTCTGCCCTCCTGAACCGCCCAACCGTGCTATAGAGTGAAAATTATCCCATCTTTGTTTAATCTTCCATATGCACATATGACTCACGTTCAAATCAGCAGCAACTTGCCTTAGTGACCAACCTTCTTCGAGTTTGGCAATTGCTCTTGCTTTTTGCGCATAATTCAAATGTATTCTAACCATTTTGGAAGAGTTTAATATACTTTTATTTTATTGTTGAACACTCGCGAAAGCATTGACGTTTTGAAATTTTTTGACTTTGACATTTATCAAATCCGTACGACACTGCAATCTTACAGTATTACAATATAAAAAGTAAGGTGTAAACTATTCCGTGACCGCAACTGTACATCATATAACTAACGACGCAGTTTTGCAACGTTTACAAAAAGAATCTGATCTCTTGAAATCCATTAAAGAGAGAAAGTTAGCATACTTCAGACATATAGTGAGAAATGAAAATAAATACAGAATTATACTATTGATATTAGAAGGGAAAATAGAGGGCCAGGACGCCGCCGAATATCCTGGCTTAAGAATTTGAGACAGTGGACAAGTATGACCACCACAGACCTATTTCGAACAGCTGCTAATAAAATACGATGGGCCATTGTGGTAGCCAACATCCATAGAGGAGGCACTAGCAGAAGAAGAAGATAAACCTCACATCTGTTCTAACACAAGTAGTGGTACACAACACACATTTTAATGGTCCCTAAAGAGTGAATATTCAACTGTGACAGACAGTCTCTTCGTTGGAATTTATATACAAAGAAAGGCCGACTTATACCATAAATTATAAGGTCAGTCCATTTTACTTAAACCCTTTAACAGCGTAAAATTTGATACTTAAAATTTGGTAAAATAAACGCTCTTTACTTCGATACAATTTTTAGATTAAAAGACTTTTAGTTCCTTCTTATTTTACAGGCAATAAATTACACTACTTTACGAGGGGGTTGCATTCTCATTTTTGACAGCCTTAATTATTGTGATTTAGTTTCAGAGTATTACAAGCATTTCTTTACAATAAATGTTATTTTAAATTTATTTTACATATTCATTAATCTCGAATCAATACGATATTTAATAATTGATTTTTACTTTTACAATTTTCTGCTTTTGAATAATTACTTTTTTAAATTAAATTACATTACATTATGCCTTTATAAGCCGAGAAAAACAAACGGAACACGATAAAAAGTCATCTTACGCGATTTACTACTCACTATGATTCTATTAAAACACAGGATAGACCTAATTTGACGGAATTAAACGATAGACTTTTAAGAGCTGCAAAATTGATTGATGCTGACTGCTGATTGATGAATAACAAATTATTGAAAATTTAAACACATAATGCGAATAAAATTACAGTAATGTGAGTAAAATTACAATTACAATGCCTGAGTGCGAAAGCTTTGAAAATATATTTCGTACACTAATTGCAAAGGTAAAGTAGTTTTTAAACGTAAAGGCAACTTATACTTCCGACGTGGATCAAGACAGTATTGCTAGCGTTGCCGGCTCTCGTACGAACAATCCTCTAAACTTTGTACAATTATTTTGCTAAAAAATTTACCTATTTATGACGGAGATTTAGAACACTGGTTCTTCTTCCAGGATACATTCATTTCAATTATACATGAAAACAATGTACTGGCAAATGTGCAAACAAATAATATTGTGCTTGATAAATCAGTCATTATTCAATACAGCAGACTTTTTCCGAAAATCGTTTTTTCCGTTTCTCGACACAAGCGCGACAAATATTATTAATAGCGAGACAGGAGCGTTCATATATGTGTCTTGGTGTTGCTCCGATCAATCACTAATAAGTTTCTGGTCGTTTAGTTAATAGAGTCTTGTATTTTTCTATGGGCTGCGTCACACAAGCACATTCTTCACAATATATAAAATAAAAATCACTTTATTTTATTTTAACTGTTTCTTTTTGATATTTTTATAAATATAATTCCCTAACATACTGATGCCTACCGAATCCATTCGTTTTCAATTTTTAAACTGCTTGTCGCTAATTGAGAGCGTGACACTACATTTTTTTTCTAACTTCTGACCCTAAATTAGTCACACTAAAACTTTCTTTTCTAAACCCTTTCGCTAAAGAAGAGATTCTAATGAAGAAAGTTGGGTTGGTTGCTAGATACCAATTTTATTAATAGAGTGAGTTTGCCATATGTCACTTGTATTTCTTAAAAGAGCTTAGAGAGCAACAACTGTAGGTTATGTAATTTTACACCTGTATGGTCGTCACATGCGACGGGAGATAAAATCAATTACCATCTACAATCACTCACCTAAAAAAATAAAAACGACGCGCCGACAGAAGTTAATACTTCTGTCGGTGCGTTATTATGTGGGTTACTAGGTGGGCTAATGAAATTTTACGTCTGCGTATTACTGAATGGTTATCAATTTTTTTAAAATTGGCGAGTTATTATGTGGGTTAATGAAATTTTACGTCTGCGTATTACTGAATTGTTATTATTATTTTTAAAATAACACCACACATTTAAGTTCTTTAAAATTTAAAAAAATTTTAATATTTCTTTTAAAATTTTGTTTAACACTTTTAGTACTTTTTAAAATTTGTTAAATATTATGTAGAATTTATTCTTCATTTACATTTTCAGTATTATTTATTCTTCTAATAATAATAATAATCTTGTATTTATGTTTAATCAAAACTTAATTTTATGTAATAAACTACCCAAAAATTAAAATAAATTAAAAATATATTTCATTAAAATTTATAAATTCGAATGACATAATTTGTATATGGGAAGATATTTAAGGTTTTTTTCCTTACATAAAGCATCAACCACGCAAAGGTATTAGCGTGTATGGATTGTGTTACAAAATGAGAACCTAATAATAGAATATTAACAGTAACAATAGATAATTAGAAAAAGCCCTGAATCTATACAGAGTAAAATACTAGATTTTTAATAAAAGTTTGCAGTCTTTGAGGAATGCGAAAATGTTTACCGTTAAGACACGTTTACAAATGCCACACAGAGGTTTCTCAGTACGTTTTAACGGTTAGTCATGTGTTACACGTTGCATGTTGCACTGAGTATGGCCAATCTGGAGGCGAGTGAAGATTACTTGTTCTCTTCTCTTTTTAATTATATTAATATGTAGAAGTATCGCTGTCTGCCTCGATATGGAAGTCTGGATGAATTTGTCGAAGAATTTTATTTTAGTTTAGAGTTTATTTTTTCAGACATTTAATTAGTATATATCCTTGCAATGCTTAGTGGGTCTAAAGATTCTGTACCGATTTCGATGAAATCTATTAGTTATTCATAGTTTAAAGGATAACTGGAATTTTGGTCTCTAAATAATTCTTCTATTAGTTGCAGTATTTCCTCTAGCGTCTTTTTTGGTCTCTTGTCTTGGTTTAATTTAGTCTTTTTTCTTTGTTTTTTGGTAAATCAAAAATATGTTTTGATAAATGAGTTGGGGACGGTGTAGAAGGTTCGGAAACTGTGCGCTTTGTGATACTGGATCTGTTTCTATTTGGTTAGTTAAGAGTTTTATGCATAGTGTTTAATGTTGCACAGCTTGTTCGTTCAGTTGAGTTTGCTTCTGTTGTATGTCACTAGTTACTTCCTTAATCACCTGATTGTTACTATTGTCAGTATGGTTCTCTCTATTGTGAGGTATTGAAGTTGTGTCGCCTGATACAGATGTCTTCACTGGACAGTCTTTTGTTAAATGCTTGGTATTTTTGCATTGACAAGTCTTTTTTTTTTAAATAAGTATATTCTATATGATGTCTCCTCATGAGTGATAACGAAAAAATCGGGTAAGGTATGTTTGGTTAAAGTTTACGTAGATTTGCCGCCTGAAGCTTAATATATGCTAATATATGCTTAACGAGAAGGGTGACAAGAGGTAAGAGCTGTTGATTAATTTTGATTTTTTCGAGGTTGGTAATAAAATCATCACTTATTTTTCATTTGCTACGTAAATGCATATTCTGTTGTTGGATAGCCTTGAACAAAAAATAATATTAATTGGTCGAATTATTTGGTTTAAACTGTAAAGGTAATCTTCAATTTTGGTATTGTTAATTGTTAGTCTGGTGCAGGACTAGGTTTAGTTGACGCAGATGAGGATGCCATGATGTGGTTACTAATATTTTGTACGCCAAAATATTAATTATTTGAAGCCAGAAAAGACTGGCCTATGTATTAAGTTATTGATATATATATTTAAATAAATTCACCTTACCAATGTTTATAGTTAAAATACACATTTACAAAACGCGTTTTTAACTTTTGCAAAAAAAATATATAAACGAATAATTAGCATTTAACGTGCTTACTCATTGACTGTTCTGATAAGACTCCTTAAGGTTTTTATGACATGTTATAAGTTTTAAGAAACATTATAAATTATACATTATCTACAACTTACTTCGCTTCAATTAGATGTGGCCAAGCAATGAATACAGATGTACCCAAAAGATCAACTGGAATCATGTCACCGATGAATTTAGAATTTGGTATAACATGAATAATCATACTCTCATTTCTGCTTGGCTGTTCAAATACCTTAACATGAGCTTTTTGAACTTCTCCCTAAAAGGATGATTTAAACAGTTTGTACAGATAATATAAAGAAATACATAATATTTAAATAAAAAACAAAAAAAAATTAAACATGTGCCAGACAAAAAATAGAATAATGAAAATAAGACAAGACAGTTTTAGAAAAATCATTCAAATTTATTTCTTCTTCATATTCTTCTGTACCCGATCATAGATTTTCTTCATAGTTCTCCATATTCGTGCAATTTTCATCCAGCACAATGTTTACGTGCGAAATTTCAAACCAAGCCATTTTTTCTAAATCCACATTTTTATATAAAATACAAGCAAGCGTACAGCAAGATTATAATATATATCACCTACCACTTCATCAGTGCTACCAACTGCTTAAAAGCGCCAAATTTAAAAAATGTTTTGGATAATTTTTGTTGAAGTTTTAAACTTGCATGAGGTATTCTGAGGTAATTTATTAACGACATATTCGTGTTCAGCGACCTCGAAACCGCCCGAATGAAATTAACATTAAACTCTAAATGACGAGGTCCACCATCCACCAGGTAGCTCGACAACCATCGCTTTCATAATATTCGCATTCAGTGCCTTCGAAAACATACGAGAAATGACGTTTAACTGATTTCGAATGAACATAACAAAACTCCTGGAGACGAGGTCCACACTGGGCAGCAGGTAGCTCGAGGACCATCGCCGTTATCATATTCTTGTTCAGTGACTTCGAAAAGTCCCGGCTAATAACTGTTCACTGATATAGAATGAAAGTAACATTAGGCAGGAGACGAGGTCCATCCTGTGCAGCAGGTAGCTCGAGGACGATCGTTGTTATCGAGCCTCGACCTCGAAAACTTCTGAGTAACAAAATTGAACTAATTCCTGTCGACATTTTCTGAGTTGCAAATTTTTCATTTTCTATGTACTTTTGAAATGCATTTTTATGTTTATGTTATTTTACCACCATGAATTTTTCACAAACTTTACTAACACTTCCCCAAATCGAATGCCAAAAGTTGCACAACGATTCATCTTGCTGCGGAAAATTGGTAGGTTTAGTACTTTGTCGTGCATTATTACTCGCCTATTATATTAAAAATATTTTTATCCTTAGAATTTTGCAATGAATTTGACACATACTCATAGTTCCCAAATTATGAATGAAACCCAAAACAAAATTTTCGTAACTTTTGATCGCTAATTACGCGCACATTTTACTATGCTGTTGTGCTTACATGTCGACCAAAATGTCAAACGTCGTGCGATCATTTTTTCGAGTCATAATTTTTTTGAGTTTAAAAGCAAAATGCAATGGAGTTTATCACATTTCTCTGTAGAGTGGAACTTTTTATAACTGAAATTCGGATACATTTTGACAGACCTCGCGTCGTATACACAGTATCATTGCAAATACAAAATCCGGTACTACTGAAAATAATAAAATAAAAATAAAAATTAAAAAAAAAACAAAAAGGATGTAACATATCTTTAAATGAAGGAACTATGGTATATCATAGTCAAGAAAGAAGAAACTATATACATTCCATAAATAATCCTCAAATGGATTTAATAAAATAATGTAATGAACAGCAGTGGAGTAACGAAAGAATTTAGAGAAATATGTACAATATATATATATATATATATATATATATATATATATATATATATATATATATATATATATATATATATCGTAACGACGAAATTGGTATATGAGTATCCACAGTGTAAACATTGCCGTAGGCACGATTTTTTATTAACAATAATATTTTGTAGTCAAATGATTACTTCATAAAAGTTGTTTAAAAATTAACTTAAATAATTTCTTTACCCTATATTTTAGATGTTTCATAGTTGGAAAGCCCGGATAGTAAACATTCATTAAAGCTCCAGGATAAGCACCCTTTACTAATTTTTCTCTTGGTACTAAAATGTCTGAATATAATAAAGTCTTCACTTCTGTGTGATTTTTTGGAATTTCCGGAAAATAAGCTGGCGCTTGATAAGGTCCTCTATCTCTTGGCGTGTACATGTAAATTAACATAGGTCCGTGACTATTTCTTCGTTTTTCATCAGTCGTCAACTGATCGTTACAATAACTCATGGCTTCTAAAAGCAGTTTCTGAAAAATTTCAATACATTACATTAGTAACTGTGAAAGAGGTTATAAAAATCGGAAAATACCCCAACTTTAATCTTAACGAAGAGTGCCTAACCAGGATGTGAATCTGAGCGCTGCAAACTAGGAAATCCCTTCCCAGGCGCACCGCCTGGGAAAATTTCAATACCGAAACAGATCATACGGCAGAAAGTCGAGGGTAGACGCGAATGCTATAAATAACGTGCAAATTTTTAGACCAAAAAATGATAGATACTAAATTTTCGTGCGACTATTTGCAAAACCGAAGAAGACTTGGAACTTACTAGATCATGCACTCCACTACACGCTCAAAACAAGGGCAGCCATTAATTGAGACGGGACCAGACTTAAAAAAAAGAAAATGTATCGGTTGTTACAAAAATGCTTGGGAAACGATAAACAGTCATGAAGCACATAAAAAAGTGAAACGAGTATAGACATATGGCACAAAATATTACGACAATTCGACATTACGTCTAGCATGTTTTAAAAATCATGTTTTAATTATAACTTCGCCTGTAGTACAAAGGAGTCGTGTTTACGCCACAACTCATACTCAATTTAATACGTGTGTTCTGTTTATATGTTACGTGTTTGCAGAGCTGACAACGCCAATAGGACGAGTATCACAGAGTGACATTTTCCGGTTCCGGCTAGTTCGCAACCACAGACAATTGGTATCTAATCAAAAACCACCAATGATGCTTATAAAAGAAGAGTAGGTTTTGTATACATGGGAGGATCAGAAACAAGATCGATCTACGCATTGATGCTATATATCATTAAGTATGAGTTTAGAAGAATATAAGTAGTGGAATGATCTCAGCGCGAGTATCGGAATGAAATGTCAGAAAGACCTGATTGGAGGAGATTTCAATACGCGGGACAGAGGTCGAACGAGATACATAACCGAGAGTATGTTGCGCATAATGACTGGGTTTTATTGTATGCAGGTAATATTAATAAATTTGTACGAGTTGACAGGGGACCAGTTATTCGGTTTGGCATGGAGGGGTACAAGGAAGGAAAATGGGGGAGGGAAATAGGGCAGACAAAACATTTTCCTTGAGATTAAAGATAGCGACATAAAGTATAGGAACATTGAAAGGGATATTTAATACGGAAAGGAACGAATTGGTTGATAGTGAGTACAGTGTGGATGACTTCAATGAAGTGATTGCTGCAGAGTTTAATCTCCGGAAACTCCCGAGTTTCCGGAGACAGGGCGCTAGAAATCGAAAAACTACTTATTGGTGAAACGATGTCGGATCGCACAGGAAGGAACGCATCAATGCTAGATTAGATATGTTACGTGCGAATGGGAGAAAATGGAGGAATATAAAAACGAGAGTATATACTAGTCATGAATGTACCTACTGAAAAATAAAATTAAAAATGCAAGAAAGAATGCATGGACAAGGCTACATGAGGAGGTGAATAAACAGGTGTGGGGTAGTAAGTAAGTAGACTGAAATATACACCACTCTACTCGCTAAATGTGAGGGCAAATTTGTTTTAAGTCGTTTATACAGTGTGGATACGGATGTCGTGCCTAAGGAGAGAAACTTTTATTTTATATAAATAAACTATAAACTATAAAAAGTTTTTTTTTAATTATTTCAAAAGCCTGCTCTATTTTATAGCCAATTTTATGTACTCGTAAATTTCTAGGGATTTTGGCACCAAGTCGAAAATATAATAATAATTTAGTGCATTACATTTACGTCATTACCTAAGCAATATTTAAAATTGTATAACAACAAACAAATTTAATTAGATCAATAACAATAATAATTATAAAGAATAATGGAGCAAAAATAACAGTGAATAAAAAAAAACCACTATTCGACATTTCATTTCTAAACGCAGTGAATAATATAATTATAAAGATGATGAAAGAGATATGAAGGGAAGTAAAAGAAGGAGCGAGAATGTTGTAGTTTTAGAATAGAGTAGAATAGTGGTGCAGATGCGATGGAGATTGATGGGGGATTAGAGGGGGCATTGCGAAGTACTACCGCTTAAGTTTTCCACCGTGGCCTTCTAAACGTGTGAAGGATAAGTAGAAATCAAACAGTACCTTCCGGCATGGGAGGATATTATGGTTTAAGGAATTTCCTATCTCGGGTTAAAAACCGGCTTGTATCGCATACTAACTGAATTTTAAAAATTCGTTGCCGAGGTCAACATATTGCATAAATTTGTCATGTTATAACTATTTTAATTAACATATAATACCCTCAAATAGGATAATGGTATATTTATGTAAAGGGTATAACTATTACGTTTTAATATTACTAACCTCATCGATGAAAGGTATTTTTACTACTGCTTCCCACGATTGCTTCTTTCCATTCAGATCAGTTTCAAATTTTTCTGGATAATAATCAATTATGATAGAATTTTCTTCAGTCATCAACCCATGATAACATTCCGGCAGAAGCTTTTTACTGGCTGCAGGTAATACACCTAACAGCTAAAAATTACAACACTGTATCTAAAACCATAACTTATTAATTATTACTAACCTGTTCATATGGCAAAAATGGTTTGCCCATATCGAATTCAATTTTTAAGTCAGTAAACCCTTTGATATCCGAAATGTATGGGGCATAATGATGTGGATAAAACCAGGACCAAGAACAGCAACCATTATAGTAATAGTTTAAATTCCACTGTATTGCTCGAACATACCCTTCAGCTTGGTCCCTCATTACTTCGCTATAAAATAAATAACATGAGCTTTAAAGTATATAAAAAATCAATGTCACGACCAATTTTCATTACATCCTGCGTTATGATATTTACCCAACCTAAGCTTCGATCTGCTACATTTTTTAATTTTGCTGGTTACACAAAAGTATTCTGAGTATCGTATTTCCTTCTTATGCTTGATCAGTACTCTTTGGTTATTTCATTTGTGTAACAATAATATCTTTACTGTTGATTTCATGTTAGTATTTGTTATACAATTTAAAATATAAGTCCCTTCATGTTTCATGTTCACAAAATGCTCAAATATTTTGCCAAATACTTCTTTTCATATTTAAAGACAGGAAACACTAGCGCAGCAGCCACTGATAAGTTGCGCACTGTTAAGTTGCAGCCACTGATAAGACGTACTAGATAAAATCTATTCCAAAACAATTCAAAATATACCTGCTAGAATAAATAATACTTAAGTCCCATACACAAAAATATCAAAGAATTCCAAATTCACCCTAGATACAAGATTTTGTTGAAAGTCCACGTTAAAAAGAAAATGAAAAGCTTTGTATTTGAAACAAAAATAAATATTTGATGACAGAGAAATTCTAAACTGTTTTACTTCTATTGTGTCCCCTATTATTGTTCTTTTTTTAGGGTTCGGTTTCTTTATCTTTTATCTTTCAAACTTATTCCAGACATACTTTTTAGTTTGTTTTCTAGAATATTTCTTTAAAATGTTTCATTTGCGTCTTAAGTTCATCAGAAACAAGATATGAGATCACTTAAGTAACAGGTCATTTGGCACAAGAGATTTACATAAATTGACTTATTTACCTACTTAATAAGGCGCTAGTTTTTGTTGAGATGTGAAGGAACTTAAACCAAAGTAAGATGTTAATGCCAAACATAATCTAGTACTTTTTTATTTTCTGACTTTGGAGTAAATTTGTTGGGTATTAATGGAAAGCGTTAGACATAATTCATTTTACCAAACGAATTATTGGAAAAATCGCACAGGTTTTATTGGTTATAGAATTTTCGCAAAAAAAATTATTCAAGGCCGTTGTTCCAAACTTACAGATAATCCTACATATACACAATATTTTCTCATATGTGTTTGCGCTACAAACAATTATTTCAGACATTTACTACAATCGGCAACAGTGCGTTATTTCAGCGAGCAGAGTGCGCACCAAGGAGAGAACGAGAGACGATATCGAGACATTCAACATCAAGTAATGTGCAATTCTAAGCAGTTCGGTATAAAATAATAAATTTGTTCGTAAAGGTATCTTCTACAAAAAGACGATAAAGTTTAGTTTTAACAGCGTTTTGTTACAGTTTTTAATAAAGCCAGTGTTACAGTCCGCCTTGTTTTTCATTTTGCCTGTAATATAAAACGATAATAGACTAAACTAAACAATATGTCTTCATCTAAATGAAAATTTTAATAAGTAGCACACGAAACATAATTATAGAAGTATTTCCTAAAATACGATCAGATATACTAAAAACACAAATAGACAATATATATTTAACCTTTTTAATAAAATGGAAGATTCGACTAAGTTTACCGGCAAAAAATAGAACAAATTTTAAAACAATTTTACAATACATGCATAGATATAATTAAATGGTGTAAAAATAGAAAAAAAAGTTAAAAAACAATATTATCATCATCTCTATGGGTGGTCGTGATAGTACTGATCGCACGGAATATAGTTGAAAAGTTCTTGCATATACATGAATAAAGATGATTATTTAAAGGATTACTGAACCTGCCATATAATGATAATGTGTAATAAACATACCAATTAATTCAACAAAATATTGATAGGTTGATATCTTTTTATTCCCATAGATCTCGATTTCCATCGTTTTCTAATAATAAAAAAACCGGTTGCGGACTCTAGTATGGTACACTCGTACTAACTAACATTAAACAAGCAAAGGGAAACGAAATTGAAAAGATCTAATTGCTGCGAAATCTCAAAGAATGTTTCTATGGTAATATTGATATGCTCAGGAAAAGAATAAAAAAATATACTTACGGTGTAACATCAACATATTCCATTTTCTCTTTATAATAATCCTTTTTAAAATTCATAAATTCATCACTATTATCATCACTGTCATCATCTAAACACAGCTCATCAGTAGACTTCAACAGACTGGCCAAACCACTGTCTTTGCAAGGTGTCGGTACTTCCGGTTCAAGAAGTTCAAAAATCTCATCCCCTTCCGCTTCCCACTCTTCCAAATCTCTTGTGGACTTATGACCCCGCTTCGTTTCCAGATACATTATGTCGTCTCTTACTTGTTCATAGTGATCTATGTCTTGCTGACCAAGTTTTTCCAAGAAAATTTCAAACCGCTTTAAGTTTAAAGTTCCACCTTCGTTTATATAACCATCTAGTGTAGGAAGTATTTCCATGTAAGTTTTATACAGGAGGGGTAATGCACCCTCGGAGATGTGCAAATTTGGTAAATGAGGAATGAAATCGTTTCCAACTAAAAACCCCATCAACACCCAATCGTCGATTATTTTTTCTAAATCGTAGTCAAATCCTCTTAACTCATACCTTATTGGAGCGAATTCTAATTCTAAATACTCCCTCATTAGAGATAAGTGTAAAAGAAAAAATGTTATCTCTTCGGGAACTGTTATACGTTTTGTGGATTTCTTGCCAAATTTTACCTAAAATTAAAAAGAAAAGTATAGTTTTTAATAAGTAATTTAACGTAAAATTGGTATGGTTTACGAAACATATCCTTGTCTATCTATTTAGTTAAAGATAGTATGTGTGTTAGTATGTGTGACATGTTATCTCGATATAATCCTAAAAAAGAACAAATATAATGTATTCTAAACAACAAATCTCCGAAATTATAGGTATAAGCACCTAAACTAATTCAACATTAACTCCAAAAAGAGCAACTGGTAACCTTGGGAACTCGAGTGCTACTTTCTTGTGGCATGCCTACACATAATATTTAAAAATCATTAAGAATCCATCCTCTTTCAATAGTATCATCTAATGTACAAGCAGAAAGATTACAACGTCTGCAATCTACACAATTCCGCCTCTGGCAAGTACTGAGCGGATTGAGTAGCTCAGTAACTACAAGTGCCGGTCCCAAGCCCAGATAAAGGAGAATTGGACGACAGGCTGGTAGCCTATTTCCGAAAAAAAAAAAACATTACTACGAAACCCGCAAGGCAATAATACTGGCAACGGAATCTCGGATATCTCTGTTGTCACTTGTAACATTAGAACTTTGAATAGACCCGGAGCGTTGAGTTCCCTGCTCAGTGAATTGAAAAGATACAACATTGGTTTGGCAGCATTTCAGGAAACAAGGTGACTAGGGAAGGGCACTCAGTACACAAAAACACATTATCTTGTTAAGCGGTTTAGATTGGAATTTGGGGTGACATATGACACTTATACTCGATAATAAACTCAATAACAGGTTTTCAAGCAGTTAATAAACTAATTTGTAGGATACGAATAAGGACTCACTTCTTCACCTTATCCATAATAAACCAAAATGAAAAAGATAGGGACACTAAATTAGCTTTTTACCAATTACTAGAACAAACACCTAACATCAAAAATCGTCCTCAAAATAGTCATAGGTGACACAAACACAAAGTTAGAAATTGAAAATGAATACTTCGGAAAAATTAAGAGGAATAGCCCACACAGAAACACGAATAAGAACGGACAAAATTTTATTAACTTTGCAGCTGGTAAAAACACGGTCATCAATTCTACCATATTTCCTCACAAAAACTCATACAAAGGCACTTGGATATCCTCGGAAATGTTGTGAATCAAATAGACCACGTCTGATAGAAAAGTGATCAGAACCAAGTATTTTGGACGTAGAAAGTAGACGAGAAGCATGCTGTGGCTCATACCACCTACTAGTTCAGGTACACTTCAGATGTAGGATCAGCAGACAGACAAAGAAAATCAACCAAGAAACAAACTTCTAGATCTGGGAAAACTGAAAGACCCAAAAGTCAAGAAATTTTGAAAAAAGAAAATTGGAAAACTATTTTGAAAAACTGCTTACCGAAAACTCTCACAATCATGATGTCGAACACACAGAACATGAACTATTGTAAGAAACAAAAAAATGAAGAGAATAAAACAACAAACGCCAACGATAGAAGGGGTTGAAAGGGCAATCACACTGCAGAAAAATAACAATGCCCCTGGATGTGATAGAATACCCACAGAATTGTGTAAGTTGAGAGAGAGAGAGAGAAACCAAAAAATATATATGCAGTCATACACGGATGACATAAGGATGACATATGGAGACAGAAGAAAATGCCAAAAGAGAGTGGAATAAGAGTATCATCTGCCCAGTCCAAAAAAGGGCGACAAACTCCTCTGTCAAAACTGTAGGAGGAATTTCCTTGCCGTGTTGTGGATATAAAATATGTACCAATATGTTTAACCATAGACTATAATCCATGCAGAGAAGATCATCTGAGAATATCAGGTAGGATTTAGATAAGAAAGATCAATCATCGGTCAACTATTCACGATTAAGCAAGTTTTAAGCAAAGACTATTAAGCGAGGCATATATATAATTATATATATATATATATATATATATATATATATATATATATGTCATCATCATCATCATCATTATCAGCGTATTCTACCAATTATGGTGCAGCCTCCCTTACATAGTCGTTCTTCATGTCTGCCCACGACTGTCTAATATTCGCTTTTCTGTGCCATGTTGTACCGGCTTGTTTCCTTATGTCATAGTCCCATCTTAAATTTGGACGTCTTCTTGGTCTCTTGACGCCTCTTGGATACCACAGAGTAATTCTAGTGGACCATCTATTGTCAGTTCTTCTTGCTAAATGTCCCGCCCACTGCCATTTTAAAGATTTTATTCGGTGGATTACATCAGTGACCTTCGTTTTCTGTCTGATCCATTCTATTCTTTTTCGATCTCTCTTGGTTATACCTAACATGCATCGCTCCATTGACCTTTGAGTGACTTTGAGTTTAGCTATTATATCTTTCTTTAGTGTCCAAGTTTCGCAGCCGTATGTCATGACTGGTAGTATACATTGATCGAATGCCTTTTTTCTTCAGGTGGAGTGGCATCCTAGATTTGAATATAACTGAATTTTTACCAAAAAATATATATATAATATATATATATATAATATATATATATATATATATATATATATATATATATATACATCCCACCATCATTTTGAAGTCTTTTCACGTTGCAGTAATTTAGCATCACCAAGAAATACTATCACATTCAAATTATAAGTCATGTATATTCGTTTAGTGTATCTTTTTAGGCTTGACACCGTTGTCAGTGTTTAAATTTTTCGATTTTTTTATATATTTATTTTTTTACACTCAACAGACATTTTAACTCCCTATAGGTCAAATCATTGTGTCTTGCGTCAATACAGTATCACGAGATGTTGCCAAAATATATATATTTATTTGAAACATGGATAGATATATCGATCCGTTTTCGTTCACAGACCGATAGGTCTACAACCTTACCGACCGCCCCGACCGGTTTAGGGTTCTCGGATTTATTATTATGGTTTAGTTGCATATTTAATTTAGCAGGTAATTTTTCCCAGAGAATTGTGAAAAATTATGAATGAACGATCGAAACGAATTTTGCCGCTGGCAGCGATAAGTAATATTTGTATTATTATGGTAAAATTGACAAATACGAGAAAAACGTTCGTCTCCAATAAAATATGTTCATGTACAGACGGTGCCAGTTAGTTTTTTAAAATTAGTATTAATTTTTGGTTAAATTTTGTTTGTTTATGTTTAATATAATTTTTTTTGTTTTAAATTAAATTTAAAATATATTGTTTATGCTACCAGTGCACTGTTCATGTTTATTTGTTTTCTATTAAAATAATAAATAACTATGTAAATGTATAATTTTTGATTTACTATAATAAAATTTGTGGAAATGTTGCTTTAAAAGTTAAAAATACTTAAAGAAAAATAAAAAAATAATAATAAAAAACTTTTTACATTAGAATGAATAACTGATACTAATTTGCTGCACCTTCTTCTTCTTCTTCTTTTGGCATCATAGCCCTGAATGGGTCTTTGCCTATCTGGCTATGTCCTTCCATTCAGATCTCTCTTGTGCCCTTCTTCTCCATTGTCTCATGTTTATTGTTTTTAGGTCGTCTTCCACGTCATCCAACCATCTCGTTCTGGGCCTTCCTTTTTTCGCCTTCCTATGGGCTTCCATTGTACCATTTTCTTTGTTGTTTTTGCATCGTTTTGTCTCTGCACATATCCCAGCCATGACAGTCTTTGACTTTTCACAAATCTTACAATGTCATAACCTTCATTTAACTCATTAACCTCGACGTTTCTCCTGATTCTCCATGTGCCATCTTCCTCTTGTACCGGGCCATATACTTTCCTCAGTATTTTTCTCTCGAATGTCCTGAGTTGGGCTTCATCTTTTTTCGTCATTACCCAAGTTTCACATCCATAGGTTACTACGGGTCTAATCAGTGTTCTGTAGATAGTCATTTTGGTTATTTTGTCTAATAATTTCAATGTCATCAATCTTTTATTAGCATAGTATGTACGATTCCCGCTGGAAATACGTGCATTAATTTCGCTACTTACGGAGTTCTTCTGATTGATTTCTGTGCCGAGATATGTAAAGGCATCCACTCATTCGATAGTATAGTTGTCTATTGTGATATTATTTTCATTGTCAGTTATTCTTTTGACTGTCATATACTTCGGTTTTGTTTCGTTTATTTTGAGACCTCTTTTTCTTGCTTCAGGATCAATTTGTTTGAACACTTCCATTAGTCGTGGCTTATTCCTACTAATGATAGCTACATAGTCTGCATATGCAGTAATTTGTAATGATTTGGTGTTTATATGGCCGGTTATATTGGTTTTTCTGATGACTGCCTCAAGAACTAGGTTGAATAGCATGGTTGATAGGGCATCTCCCTGTCTTACTCCTATGTTGATGTTAAACAGGGAAGTCAGTTCTCCATCTACTCTGACTGCGGCTTTTGAACCCTGCAACGTCATTTTTATGAGGCTGATGTATTTCTTAGGTATACCTAGATTACAAAGGTCTTCCAGCATTCTGTCTCTTTTCACACTATCAAAAGCTTGTTTAAAGTCTATATACATATTATATAGGTCTATGTCGTATTCATAAGCTTTTTCTTGTATCGTTCTTAGTATGAATATGTTATCTGTAGTGGCTCTATTTGGTCTGAATCCATTTTGATAATCACCAATTATATTTTCGGAGTATTCTAACAATCTATTGTAGATTATACCAGAAAGAATTTTGTATATTACATTTAGCAATGTAATTGGCCTATAATTCTGGCATTCTCTCTTATCTCCTTTTTTATATATTGGCTGTATGAGGCCAACTGTCCATTCCTTTGGCATTTGCTCCTTCGTCCATATTAATGTTATTAGGTAATGGATTTTTTTCCAGAGTTCGGATCCTCCATGCTTTAATAATTCTGCCGAAATTCCGTCCGTTCCTGGTGCTTTTTTGTTTTTTAGTTTATTTATTATCTGAACTACTTCTTCATAACTCGGATTTTCGATATGCAGCTCCGCCTAATATATTGTCTCGTTCTGATCATTTTCGTTGTCTGCATT